AGTATTATTTTATTTGTCAGATATCCAATTAGGTTTGTGCACGATGGAGATGCGCTATTTATAAGGCTATTTTTATAAGAAAGCTCAAAATCATTATTGAAAAAAAAAGAACCTAATGGTCAATCTCTAATTACAGAATTGTGTCGTTAAGAAATGATTGTGTAGTGAGTCAAAGAAAAAGAAAACAAAAGTAGTAATTGTTTATCACTTGAGAACAGTATGAGATTTCATTAAGAAAAGAAAAAGATCTTGATTCTTGATACAACAATAGACAAAACTAGTTCTAGTCTAACACATGGAAAGAGTTGTTCTACTTCTTTAGCAAATACATTCCATCTCTAAACTCTAGTTTCTCTTCAGAAACCAAACCAGAAAGAAAGCTCTGAAGCTGTTGCAGTGACTTGTCATAAGAAGGATCAGCCACACAAAACATCTACAAAAAAAAAAAAAAAACAGAGCAATGATCAATGATCAATGATCAAGACAACAACGTTGTAAAATCAGTTAGGTTGATGTCAGATTGTGTGTTACCTTGAGAGTGTTATGGATTCGTTCTAGTGCCATGCTACCAAAATTTGTGAGCATTCCCATGATGAATTTCTGAAACATGGTTGATAATTGTTTAGATTTTATATTTCTGGAGAATGAAAAAGTTTCCTAAGCATTTTACATACCTCGTATATCGTCATTTCTTTGCGAAGCTGATCTTCCACAGAGGCAATCGATGTTTCACTCTCTTCTTCACCTGTTAGAAGCTCCTCGCCTTCATTCTTTCCAGAATCAGTTATGGATTCAACGAGTGTTAACACATTGGAATTTGAGTTTGCTCCAGTAGATTCTCTCAGAACTCCCTAAGTGCAGGAAACTTGCAAATAAGCTTTTCCTCAAAATGAACGGCTTAAAGCAGGAGACTACAATTACAGTATATACCTTGCTTATCCAGAAGTTTACTCGTCGGTTTAATGCGTCAATTGGTATCCCAATGACTGCAGAAAGATCTTTATAGGTCCAACTGAAAGATTACATGATTTCAGTGACCATTTGGAAGATGGAAATATCCATATTGATTGAGTCTTGTAATTTTACCTTTTCTTTTCTTGAAATTGCATGATAATGGCAGCATGTGTGGGGGAGACAGTGAACTGCAAAGCTCTGTCTTCAAATTGCAACTCCAACTGAATCCATCAAAGCCATTTCAGAGAGATGCATACGTCAGTATCTGATTTACCCAATACTCGAAAACATGAATCGTTCACTTAAGTATCTACACTAGTTGTACCTTGACAGTGCCAAGATTTTTCTTCCAAAGTAGTTTACGAGGGGTCTTGATTTCATGATATCGATTGGCATAATCTGATAGCAGCTTGTCAATAGGTCCAGGTAGCTCTAGAGGTTCATCCTGAAATTCCTCTTCTAATCAGTGAATGGAAGCAATCACAAGAATCTATACGCCTCAAATGTGTATATTTTACGTATGACATAATGGATGCAAAATCAGAGGGAAGAACAAATGATTACCTGAATTGGTGGCCAGAAGTTTGTTGAGAGTATCGTCGAGGTAAGAGTATCAACAGAAAGCTCATTCTCTCTTAACTCAGAGCCTAAACACAAGCAATGGACAAATACCAAGTAAAATAGTCAGACAAGAACCTACCTTGCACGAGTAAAATTGAGAACAATTCAGAAATATAACCTGTTTGAGATGCCTTTTTAATGTTAGTGTTCACTCTCTTAGAATCAATTAAGTCGTTCAGCATTATCTCACATCTTTGCATACTGGCTTCTCCAAAATGTATCTATTGACATAATAAGAGAAGGTAAAGTTAGATTCAACACTATAGAAACAATCCAATAGTTTGGCAAGTCAAACTTAAGAGGGGAAAAATGGAACTTGCCTTGAGAAGTTCAACAGTGCGTATCTCAGTGTCGATGTCATAATCAGTCTTGTTGAGAAGCTTTTCCGCAAGCATAACACGATATTCATTGACTAGTTGCTCTTTAGATCCAATTATATCAACAAGCATACCAAGTATGTCTACCTTCCTCTGACTGAGGCTACCTTTTAAAGGATCAGCCTCGACAGGGTCCGGTTCCCAACTGAGGACAAAGCACATTAAAAAAAGTGTCAGAAAAATTCAATACGGTGCAAGATGATAACCAAAATTATATACAACAGAAGGATACCGGGAAGCATTGAGCCAGGCTTGCTTATCATCAGTGTGGAAATCATCGTCAAAACCTACATTCTCTTGATTTTCTTCATCCCTCATTAATTCTTCAAGAAGACTATCCCCAGGGTTTCCGGAACCATTTGCATTCCCTCCACTTCCATCTGTAAGCATAGTGACAATACATTTAATGGTGTCTTTCCGTCCCCGTAAATAGTCTCTAATTGGTTCACCCACTGCTTCCAGAAATACACCAGCTGGGTCTATTGCTCGAAGGGCTTTAATAGTCGACACATACTGATGTAATATATCATTGGTTGAGGCACCAGCAGTGAGCAAACGATATTTCAAAGAAGTAATAAAAGATTCAACTAGCTTAGAATGCTGCCCAGTATATTCAAGACACTGTTTTAAGTCTTCAATGGCAGGAGAACTGTTGCATCAAAAAAATTTCCATCAGAGAGATGCAAGATATTTCGACTAAATGCAGTATTTGATTTGGGTCTCAAGTGAGATATATGGAGAGGAAAAAAAAGTACTATCAGAAAAGAAAATACCTCTCAGGATAATCAACAATTATCTCAAAAAGTTTGGCTATCCTTAAATCTTGCAGTGTCTCATATGCAAAATATTCTAGCCGTAATTTCCACCTAACAATTCCTTCGGAAGGAGTCACCACTTTAGAAAAGCTTGGAGATGGGCAACAAGCCAGAGGGGACGTGAGGTCAGATGATGTGGTACTATAACTTACGGAATCACCAAGATAAGAAAGAAGTGCATTAAGGAACTGTAGAGGGACTGTCTGAAAAGAGAAATTAAGATGTCAGGAATCTCCAAATTACCAAACTAATCTGATGGTGCAGTGAGAATCTCACCAGCAAAAACTACCTGAATCCATTCTTTGATTGATTCCAAAACAGAAGTCCTGTACTCATCACCAGCCAGATCATGGACTTTCGCCTGCAGTATAACATAGCCACACAGGTTACAAGTTATATGTATGCTGACTACAGATACAGTGTTATAACTCTCAGTGAGGCAGATCTGATGCATAAAAAATACCTTAAGAAGTAAAAAGATGGCAGAAGCATAAGCATTTTCGGCCATAGATGTAAATCCAATGCTTCTAAGGTCACGGACCACCTTCCCAATGTTCTTCACCAACTTGTCATGTCCCAAACGTTTTCCTTGGGAATAGCCATCATCAACATCCATTTCTCCGTTTTTATATCTCAGCTTCTCGTCCAAATCCATGCAATCATCCTCTTGTTCTCCAATACCATCTCCATCCATGATTGCACTTAACTCCTCCAGCCTTTCCTTAAAATACCAGTGGAGTATTTCTAAGAACATAATAAAGAGAGGAACAATATGAGGGTAATGAACTAATGATTGAACAAACTTCCAAGCAATCAAACCAGAAAAATAACATTGATAATTACGAAAGAACACACTACAACCCCAATTGGTTGTTTAAATCAAACGACATCGCAAATCAACAAAAGAACAAGCTATCAAAGATGGGTATACCAGGAAAATGCTGAGGAAGAGTAGTCATCAGAGTTGAAGACAACATTGACTGGAATCTCGAAAAAAGATGAACTCTTTCTGTATCTGAGGTTTGTCTATCCACTGATGACTGTTCTTTATACGACTGCAAAGCATGAACCACTATGGACAGACACTTCTCATGATATTGTTTTTCAACAGAAATTTCTTCCAAAGCCTTGCATAACACTACCTGAATCTCCTCTCCATAATTCTGCCCAAAACCATCCATTTTTAGTCAAAACTAAAAGTCAATTTCAGAATATTTCTATAGCAAACAAAGTATCAACCAAGCGTGAACGTATCTTCTTACAGTAAGTTTCTTCTCACTATAAGCATCAAAATGTTCCCAAAAACTCGAAGCACCTCCCTTCTCAAAAGCTTGCTGAAACAAAACAAATGTCCATAAGAGAACAAACATACTTCTTCCACTCTACACCAGTCTACCTCATAACAGAGTAGCTACTGAGTGGTACGAAATCAGGAAGCTCCAAGACTCAAACTTTAATCTAAAAGAAAGAACATTTAATGTAGAGTACCTCGAGTGACCTGAGAAAGTGATCACGAACAAGAGAATCAAGTCCATACTTGCAGAGACAATACACATGAGACACAAACTCATCTTCAACAGAGGAATCTCCAGTACCAGAAATCAGAGACTCCACAGTAGTGAAAAATCCATCGTAGCTTTCAGTAATCTCCTGAATCGCATCGTCTGAGAGAGTTTCTAAAATCTCTAAATTGCAATCAGATGAACCTAAAGCTTCCATCTTTTTCACTCTCGGTTTAAGTTACAAAACCTCCTAAAACCCTAATTTCTTGCCCAGCAAAATCCTCACTTGACAATTACTAGGGTTTCACTGACAAGAAGATAAATCAGAAACCACATTTCACTGAAGAATAAAATCAAAGGAACCCATTAAGAAGAAAGGATTGAAATTTACATTGATGAAGTTCACTAGTTCAGAGAGAGACAAGTGGACTAGAGACGAATCTGAAGCTATAGAAGAAACCGCTTCAAGATTCATAAAGTTTGGTCATTTACAAATTTCCTCTGTTTTTTTTTTACTTCTTTCGATTCTTTCAGACGCAACCTCGATATGTGCTAAACACAAACGCAATTATAAAACGCTAACAAACGCAAGAATAAAAAAGACGTGCTTTTTGACTATCAAAATCAAAAACAAGTTTTTTTTTAGGCTCCATTCTCATTTCTCTGTTTTTCAACTTAGTTCAAAAACTTGGGAGAATATCCAACTACAAAGATACCACCTTTAAATACAAAATCAGATCATCGTCGTGTTTTAGCGAATCTAGGTTTTTTTTTGAATCGACATGTCGGAGGAGAAAGTCGTCGCCGTGATCATGGTTGGTGGTCCGACCAAAGGTTAACATTCTCTTTTGGATCTCGAAATCTATTTTCAAAACATGAATTTTGGTTTTGGTTTTGGTTTTTTTTGCTAATGTGGATTGATTTAGGAACTCGATTTCGCCCATTATCTTTCAATACACCAAAACCACTGATTCCTTTGGCTGGTCAACCTATGATTCATCATCCTATCTCTGCTTGTAAAAAGGTTTGTTCTTTTGCAATTTCTTGTTTTGATCCTTGAGAAAATTAAACATGGGTTTGTTCCAATTTAGTACTTATATTGTATGATTCGAGTTTTGAACTTTTAGTCAAGAAAGCTATGAAAGTTGTCAACTTTGAAATGTGGATTGCTTATAACAAGTTTTGATTTGACTTGGATTGTTTGTCTTAATCTAGGTTTGTTCCAATTTAGTACTAGTCTTAACTTTGTTATTGGAATTTGAGACAAAAGCTCTACACTTTGGAAATGTTTCTTGTTGTTGTATGATTTTGTAGTTTCAAAGTTTTGAACTTTTGTTTGTTTCTTAAGGCTGAAAGAAAATTTGGGAAAGTTCTCATGTTTGTAATGTTTGATTGCTCATATCAGATTTGTTTTTGATTTGACATGGACAGATATCAAATCTGGCTCAGATTTTTTTGATTGGATTTTACGAGGAAAGAGAATTTGCTTTGTATGTCTCTTCAATATCTAACGAGCTGAAAATTCCAGTCCGGTAAGTTGTAGCACTTGTGTTTTTGGTTTTTGGTGTCTAATGTGAAACCTTCTCATGTGTGTTCTTGTTATGTAGATACTTGAAAGAAGATAAACCCCATGGTTCGGCTGGTGCTCTTTATTACTTTCGTGATAGAATTATGGAAGAGAAACCGGTTTGATTTCTGATGAAAATCCCAACTTTAGTTTTATGCTTCATCAGTCATTTGTTTTCTTGATTCATCTGCTACTTTGTCTTTTTGAACAGTCACATGTCTTCCTCCTGAACTGTGATGTTTGCTGTTCTTTCCCTCTTCAAGGCATACTTGGTAATCTCACTATTAAATCTTAAATCTTCTTCATATTTTTCCTTTTCTTACTTTGATGTAACTTCACCAATTTTTGATAGACGCACATCGAAGGTATGGTGGTATTGGAACTATGCTAGTAATCAAGGTTTGTTGTCCTGATGAGTTTTATAAATGACAAAGAGAAAAGAAATGTAAAGATCAAGGATTCATGACTTTTGCTTCTTCTTTTTTCCTGCAGGTTTCTGCAGAAGCAGCCAGCCAATTTGGAGAATTGATAGCTGATCCTGATACTAAAGAACTCCTGCATTATACAGAGAAGCCCGAGACTTTCGTAATTATTTGCTAAACTATCCTGTTTTCTTAATTCCTTCACAGGCTCTTAAATTTGTTTAGCTTATAAAATTTCCTTGTTATCTACTCAATGCAGGTCAGTGACTTGATAAACTGTGGTGTCTATGTGTTTACCTCAGATATCTTCAATGCCATTGAAGAAGTATATAGCCAAATAAGAGACGCCTGTGAGTGTTCATTATTGGCCTCTCTCAGAGAGTTACATTATTTCAATTAGAGATCTGCTTCATCATTTACATGATTCTTTTGGTCTTTTCATAAATTGGCAGCTAGCAACTACCAATCTGCTACAAGGTCTGTTCCTGCGGATTTTGTGAGATTAGATCAAGATATATTGTCACCTCTTGCTGGAAAGAAGCAACTATACACATATGAGAATAAGGATTTCTGGGAACAGATTAAGACTCCGGGGTAAGTTGGTGGTAATAATTGTTTCAGACGTTCTTGGATTACTCCTAGTGCTAAGAAATTGCTTAAAACAGGAAATCTTTGAAATGCTCGGCTTTATATCTTTCCCAATTCCGCCAAACATCGCCTCATATTTTAGCTTCAGGAGATGGTACTAATAGGAAACCGAATATAATTGGTGATGTTTATATTCACCCATCCGTAAAACTGCATCCAACCGCAAAGGTAAATTTCTTTGTTTTATCTCATGAATTCTAGTTAAACTTCTCATATAATTTGCAAATGACCCACTTAAATTCCTTGAAACAAGATCGGTCCAAATGTGTCGATCTCAGCAAACGTTCGTGTTGGACCTGGTGTAAGGCTTATTAGCTGCATAATCTTAGACGATGTTGAAATCAAGGTAATTTGAATCGGTGTTTATAATGTTCTTCTTGTAATGAATCCAAAAGATTTTTTGTTTAATGTTCTACTCTGGTTAAATGCAGGACAATGCCGTTGTTATAAACTCAATTATTGGATGGAAATCTTCTATAGGTAGATGGTCAAGAGTTCAAGCTAGTGGAGATTATAATGAGAGGCTTGGGATTACCATTCTTGGTAACTTCATTTTTTTCCTCAAAGCTTTTTGTTCAACAAATTATTCGTTATTTTTTTCTGATTAATTTCTTTCTGCAGGTGAGGCTGTAACTGTAGAAGATGAAGTTGCAGTCATAGGAAGCATTGTTCTCCAGAATAAGACTCTTAATGTTAGTGTTCAAGATGATATAATCTTGTGATTTATCACCATGATTATCGTTCGGATTTTTTTCTTTTTAATTGAAACAGAAAAAGAATTACAGAATTGTGTCTTACATGAATTGAGTTCACAGGATTAGATTTCGAGTTAGTGGAACTATGGAAGATTTGTAAACTCTCATTGAATTTTTTTTTTATATACTAAAAAGATTTTAGAAGAAAGAGTTTTAAACGTTCTAAGATAACAAGGAATCAAAGAAGTTCTGCTTCTTAAATTGTATTTGAAGGTATTATCGAGCCATTCTTGTATTTTGGTGGGCATTCGGTAAGTCGGGGGTTGTTCTATATATTTTTATACGAGATATGGTGTTTGCTCAGTAGAGAGCTCGGTTTTCGCTTTTCGAGTTTGGTGAATGAAATCACCTGACCGAACTATGGTGAAATTATGCAGAGGCAAGTAAAAGATACAGAAAAACGGGTTTGGAAGCTTTTAAAGCTCAGAAAAAAAAACTAAGGAGGTCATCGCTGAGAAGTTGCAGAACCTAATCTTGTGATGGATTTTGAACCTAACCTTGCACTTCCGTCCTACCTATGTGAGCCGGGGCTAGACATGACATGATATCTTATAAGCTGCGTACATACATGGAAACAATGGGAAAAAAAAACATTAGTCTTTTAATGCGTCGGCCTTTACCATGAACATCACGAGGAAGATCGCTGCTACGAAACCGACACTGTTAAACATTCAAAGTGGTGAGTATTTGGATGTTTTCATCACTCAATAAGCTTCTTCTTCCGTATAAGCTAGGCAGAGTTGTGTGATCAAACGTTTGTTTGGGACTGTTTTTAACTTTTTCATTAAAAAAAAACATCGTGGGCTTTAAATTGGGCTTGAATTTAAATGGTCCGAATACGGTTTATTAAGCCCGAATGAGTAAACCGGAAATAGAAATTTCATTATCAGTTGTCAATTTCACAGATTCACGTCATTCGGTAATTTGCATCGATCGTTAGGGTTTATCGAGAGCTAAGAGCGATTTCTCAAATCGACTTTAATGGCTGACGAAGATTACAACGAAGTCGATGACTTGGGGTATTCCCTCTCTCTGTTTCCTATGTTTTTATCAATTTGTGATCGATTTCAATGGATTCTATCTTCTTCTCGACGAATCGTAAACGATTTTGAGCAATTGGATCAATTATTGTCTAGATTGAGAGTCTATCAACGAATTTCTTCGTTGAAATTTTGCTTCAATTGACAAAAAAATGTTTGTTTTGGCATCGTAGTATTGATTCCAAGCAATTTTTATGTAGAAACCCCTAATTTCATGGTTGATTGATTGAGAAATAGCTATTTTTGGGGACTTCATTTGAATCTTTTTCGTTGGTTGTTCAAATTGTTGATGTTATGTGGTGATTCTATTGCAGATATGAGGATGAGCCAGTTGAGCCTGAGATCGAAGTAAGCTACAATTTCAGTTTTTGTAGAAGATGCATTGATGTTGCTCATTACTACGTTCTGTTTCTGATTAGAATTTGGTGTGAGTAGGAAGGAGTAGAGGAAGATGCTGATATCAAGGAGAACGATGATGTTAATGGTGAGCCTATGGAAACAGAAGATAAGGTTGAAACAGAACCTGTGCAACGTCCACGTAAAACGTCCAAGTTTATGACCAAGTATGAACGTGCACGTATCCTCGGCACTCGCGCTTTGCAGATTAGGTCTGTTTCTATCCCCTTTAAGTATATATCCTCATCTACTGAGAAATTATCAATATGTTTAATAAAAAACTCTATGAGGGTACTTAACTCTACTGAGAACAATCTTTGTTCATTAACGGTTAAGTTGGCTCGGAATGTTTGATTCTATGTGCTGTTTTTGGCTGATACAGCATGAATGCTCCTGTCATGGTTGAGCTGGAGGGTGAGACTGATCCACTTGAGGTGTGTTGCCTTCTTCTTGTTGTTTTTTTCGACTTGTTTGATTTGTCAGTAAACTTAGATATGTATATTAACATTTGAGCTAATTTATGATTTGGCTTAAGATTGCGATGAAAGAGCTTAGGCAAAGGAAGATTCCATTTACCATTAGACGATATCTACCTGATGGGAGGTGAGATTGCATTTGTTATATTAACTTTTTTTAGCTCTTCTTTCATTTTGATATGGTCTTTTCTTGACTTGTGTATGATTCTGAATCAGTTTCGAAGAATGGGGAGTCGATGAACTGATCGTGGAAGACTCGTGGAAACGTCAAGTTGGTGGTGATTGATAATCTGGCAAGAGACAAAATCTATGTACTTTGCAAGCTTTCTGCTCTCATATGGATAATGAACTTATGATACTTTTGTAGAACTGCGAATTAGTGAAACTTATGTATAATATCGGTCTAGTCTTTTGTTTTATATTCAAACATTTGCAAAACCAGAAGCCCAAAGCTGGGGTTTTTGTGGTTCCTAACTCTCAAGAGTAAACCAAACAATCTTTTTTCCCGCCTAATCGGATTTCTCTCTCAATAAGAATAAATTTTACATTCATTTAAAAAAAATATATATATATAAGGGGTTAATGATTAATCATGAACCATCAACGCGGCAGTAGTGAGAATATAGGCGCTGTGGTTATCACTGTGGATGTGGTTGTCACTCATCGTTGATGAAGACGAGAACGAGCAGCTGCAGCGTTAATCTCTAATTTTGATTTTTTTTGTTATTATTGCTTTTGCCATATTTATTTTAGTTTATTATTTAGCATTCATCCTCCAGCAAAGACTATTTTACTTCTTTTTTTTATAGGATTAATAACTGATTTTATATAAGCCCTACGTGTTTCATTAGCAATTTTCCAAGACCAGCCGTATCTTGGAAAATTCTATATTCATATTCTTTTATGTGACTTTCAATAGCATCCTAGTATCCAACAAGAAAAAGGTAAGCAAACTCAATTTTAGCTAACGAGGAAACATTCGTTGATGTAAGTTTTTGTCCCTGTTGTTTTTTGGACATGGGTTTTGAAAACGTTTTGGAATTATTTGCTCAATCTTAAGCCTGCATGTACATTATACAAAGATGTAAAATCCTTCTTATTGATGTAAGCAAATCCAAAGCAAGAAGATTTATGCTCTTAAAGAGCTTATTAAGATAGCAAAACAAAACATAAAATAAAATAGCTCATTAAGGAGCTTTATTGTGCAAAGAAACTAAAAGAGGAAAGATTATTTTGTAGCTCCAAATGGCAATTATCTAGGTTAATCACATTGTTCTCATTATATGACTATATATATGAGAGACTACTTCCTTAGATAACCTAAATACATGGGCTTGTGTTGGGTTTTTCCAATGTCATAAACTCATATTCTTGGTTTTGTAATGAGTACTCTAATTAATTTTTTTTTTGACAGCATGAGTACTCTAATTAATAAGTGAAACCAAAAAGAAGAAAACATCTATAATGTTTTGAGCACATGCAAAGCAAGTGCAACTCAATTGATAAACCTCTCAAACTTCCAAGCTTTTGTCGTCTCACTAAGCAACGCCAATACTTCATTCTTTTGTAAATTTTAGAGAAGAATAATGCACTAAACTCAAACTCTTAAATAGACCTTGACACACTACAACAGAAGAATCGAAGAGAACAAAGGGGATGATTGGTTTGGACTTTTAATCGAGACTGATACTACAAAAAAGCTGTAAAACAATTGCCTATGACTTTTTAACTACTCTTATGTTCTATTTTTAAGATTTTTTTAGATAAAACTTGAAAGTACATAAATTAAGAAACTATGATTTAATACATAACAAAAATTAATTCAACCGGAAAAAAATATTGCGGAATGGTCATAAACTACTAAATAAATATAAGTTTTATCTAGACAGTTGGAAAAATTAAATAATATGAAACAATCAAAACCTTTTAAACATCTTGTAAACCGGAACATGAGAGTATTTTATGTTCCGTTTTAAACTTTCATGTTCCGTTTTATAAGATGTAAAAAAAAACGCAACAAGGAAATTTTAAATTTTAGAGAAAATATAGGAAACATAAAGCGTGAGGGTTTAAAATATTGACTTTTAAAACTGTAATTAATTTTAAAGTCTTTACAGCCGTAAAAGTCTATTCACCACTTATACACAAAATCTTATTAATATTCTACTCTTTTAAATGTTTTACAAACATCCTTGTAAATACATTTTCAAATGATAAATCTGAAAAATTACTCCTAAAAGTATTTTATCAAATCTTGGTGGATTGTTTTGATTCAACCGAGATATTTTGAAAAAAAATTATTATTTGACCAGGATATTTAAGAAAAATAAAGTAATATTTATTGGGTCCATTATACTTTTAGAAAAAATGTATATTAGCAAATCTTGGTGGATTTTGTTTTTGGTAGAAAATCTTGGTGGATTTTCTTACTAAGATAATCATTTTGATTAAATTATTTAAGGACACTAAAATGTATTTTAGCAAGATTTTTAATGGAGTTTTTGACCAAGATATTTTGAGAAAAAGGGATTATTATATCTTTGTGGTTTTTTGGTTATTTCCTATTATTTTTCAGGTTACTTAATTTAGCAAATCGTTCTTACTAAAATTTTTAATACCATTTCTCCGTTCTATAAAACCAATTTCACAATAGCTAAAACAACATCATACACCAATATTCAAAATATTTTCACAATATACCAAAAAAAATACAAAAAAATGGAGAAAATTTCAATGAAGTTTGCTTTAGTTGCTTTCTTTGTTGTTACATTCGGTAAAATATTTATTTCATGTGTGAATAAAATTAAAAACCTCTACATGCAAATTTTTTTTTTTCTTTTTTTTTTGTTGCAAATTTTATGTTTATAACAAGTTAGTTTGGTTTTGTAGTGATGTGTATCGTAACTGTACGAAATGTTGAGGCAAAGCGTGAATTACCGGAAGAAATTCCTCAGATTGCTTTGCATCATGAAGCTTCGCAGCAAGATGCGAACCGATGGGGTCTTGGGTGCCCAAAAGGATGTCATTTGATATGTTATGCTCCTGATCCAACTTTTCCTATATGTCGTTGTATATGCTAATTTTTATACATCTCCTCGTTTAATCAAATAAATAAGATATGTTTTCATTAATAAAATAAATTATTTGATATTTGTTATGTACGTTAACCACTACTCATGAAACTTATACAAATATCTAAAAAGCTATCTTGTTATATGAAGTTTGGTTTCTCAAATTTACTAACTCAAATGATTGTAACACGTGTTAATTAAAATATTATATTATCATGTCAAATCTAAATTTGTTAATATATTTAAAAGTAAATAAAATTTATACATAAGTGAATCATTAATATGATATTGAAAATCGGAAAAAACGGCCAAAATCAACCCCAACTATTTTCATGCGGAAAAAGTTTAAAAATTGAAAGTCGAGCGCGTGTGTGTCACACTCTGCGACTTCTCTCCCAGCCAAACCACACCGGAAAGCTCAGATCTGCACCGCGATTCGCCTCTCCGGTCACTGGCGCTCCTCGCCGTGGCTGTGAGAGGGACCCCCTTTGCCTCCTGCGTTGATTGGGCACCTCCTCTCCGGCGATTTGACGAGCTATAGAAGACGGTTGTGTGTGGTTAGATCTACGGTGACTCTTTTCTGCGGCTGAAAAGGCGTCGGCTTGTCTTTGCTCCCTTCAGTTAACATGGCGATTCCATCTCACCGAAGATCTAGCTCCGCCACAGGCTTGCTCAAGGACGGCGGCTAGGGCTGAGTTAGGTTTTTCTAAGGTGGCTCTCGGCAAGTTTTCCACGCTGCATTTCTTTGTAGCGTGTCTCCTGGGTTTGTCTCAGGCGACGATTAGGGTATTCTCCGACAAGTGGTGAGTGAAAGGGGATAATTCTACTCTCTTTCTCTTACCCTTTGGCGTGCGGCGGATCTCCTCAGAAAGTTTCTCGACGGTGTTTCTTGCTCTGTCAGGGGTTGGTAAGCTTGCTTCTCCCTCCCTTTGTGATTGCTGCTTGTTCTTTCGATCTGCTCTCTTTGCTCCCGCCCTGTTGAGGTTCCGTTTGGCTCCCTGGTTCGTTGCCTCTTTCTGGAGTGTGATGATCTCTGTCGCTTGTAGTGCTTTGGTTTGGTGGTTAGTGATTTGGTTGCATTCCTCCGGCTAGTCCGATTTATAGCTTCTGTCCTCGTTGGGATCTTTTCCAAAGTGTGTTTTGGCGCTGTAAACTTGCCTTTGTCCGAGATCTGATATACTTATGCAAGTTTCTTGTGAGTTTTGGCTGGAAGGAGTGGCTGTCTCTGCTTGATCATAGGATTGAGGGCTGCCTTAGATCGCAGATTCGATGGCAATTCTCCACGCATCTCAGGCCATGTCGCACAAGTGTGCTCTGTTTTTGATGTTCGGGTTTGTCTGCGGCCATGTTTTGCTTCCTCATTCTCAAGGCTCTCTTCCTTCAGCTAAGTGAAAGTTTGCGTGGCTCGTAAAGCTTCAGTTTTGGTCGGGTTACTCTGTGATTGACCCTTGTGTTTTGGAGGTGTTAGTATGGCTTTTGGAGGATAAGATGTTGCTCATGTCCATGCTACCGACCTTTGGAGGATCTTAGTAGAGGACAGCATTGCCTGCCGATATCAGCTCGTGTAGCTCCGCAACTGTCATGACTCGGGCTCACGTTGAAGGGACTTCCGCTCCGCTTTGCGTCAATCTAATGTTTAGCCAATCCTTTTCTGCTCTTGCTTTCTGCCATGTTTTTGCTTAGGGGAGTCTTCTTATCGAGTTCACTTCATAGTCTTTTACCAAGAGCTTCACCGCTTAAGGTTTTAGTCGATGATTTGATTTTCGAATGTCTATGCTTCCATGTTTTTTAAACTTTTTTGGCATGGGACCATGTTTTTAGGAATTACTTATGTAAAACCTCAACTTTCATTTCTTGAAATGATATTTACATTCTTATCAAAAAAAAAAAAAAAAAAAACTATTTTCATGCGGTTTTTTTCAACTCAAACTCTAACCTCCTGCACTTATCAACCCGAACCCACATAAATTTCAAATAACAAACCTGAACTATGTAACCGTTAGCCAATTTCAACCTAATTTTTTTGTATTTGTTAATGTCGATTAGAATTGTTAAGTCGTAATTATCTGTTCTTTTGTATATGAATCATTCATTTTATTCAATTGGTTAAAAATTACATAATTCATGTTTGTTATATTATATAATAGCATGTATATGTTGAAATTGGCTAATAATTACATAGTTTAAATTTGTTGTTTCAAATTTCGGAGGGTTCAGATTGATAAGTGCAGGAGATCCGAATTTGGGTTAAAAAAGAGCGCATGAAAATAATTGGGGTTGATTTTGACCATTTCCCATCGAAATCTATAGTTCCGAGACTAGGCGAGACTAGGCCCAAAATCAAAAATCAATTTTAGGCCCATTTTTAGTAATCGCATTCCAAAATTGACTTCTGATTTAGGGGGTGTTATTCAATGGTGGAGTTAAAGTCAATTCTTTAAGGTTTAGATTTGTTTTCTGATATTGATTTTAAGAATCTGTTTGTGTGGATTTCAAAATCTCTGCAGTATATCTTGGATTTTGATTCTAATAATTTACTCATGAAACTCCAAAGAGGTTTCATTTGAAATGACTTAATATACAAAGATTTTACAAGTCTTTTAGTTTTGAATAACACTGGATTTTACAAACCTTAAAGAATTGATTTTAACTCCACCATTGAATAACACTGGATTAGTGTTGGATTTCAATTCTATTAAAATCCATCATCGAATAACACCACCTTAAGAATATTACTCTGTTCCGGTTTAATTCGGTTCAACCAACAAATTTAGAATTCGTTAAAATATCGAATCAAATAAACAACCCACAAAATCACAAAAATCATGTCTTGACGAAAGTTTCCTCCGGCGACTCATCGGAAAAATCACAAAAGCTTCCGCATCAACAATGGCGGATCATCATCACCATCACCATCATCAACACCGACCTAATCGTCTTTCACTACCACAACCAACAATCGGAAGAACATACCCATCATTCCCTTACACTCCAACTCCAACCCCTTCCAAAACCCGTCTCTCTTCTTCTTCTTCTTCCTCCAGATCGATCCATGGAAGCAACAACACAAAATCATCACTTTCATTTCTCTTTCTCATCCTCTTCTCTCTTAGATCTCTTTACTCTCTCTTACCTTTCCTTCGTTCTTCACCTTCTTTCTCTCTTTTCCCTTTCTCCTTCCTCGTCTCTCTTCTCTCTTTCCTCTTCTCACTTTCTTTCTCTATCATCTCTTCTTTCTCACCTTCAAAGAAAGACCCTTTTCTTCTCCGTCATCAAAATCGTTCCTTTTTCTCAATTTCTTCTCTTTCTTCGACCCAAATCAAACTCTTACTCGCTAAATCGTTCCTTCTTGCTTTTGTCTTTCTTCTTCGTTTTCAAGCTCTTCGTTATTGTGGTGCTGCTGCTATGATCTTAGCTGAACTCTCTGGTACTGTCTCAGCTAGAGTCTTGTCTGGTGATAATGGTGGAGTTGGAGTTAGATCATCTAAGGTTCGTGGGTTTTGCGTTTTGTTTGCTGGGTTGTTGTTGTTATCTATCAGCTGGGATCGTGTTGATTGTTTCCCGTTTTCATCATCTGTTGAAAGTTGGGGTTTTTGGATTTACCCTAAAGAGAATTGCTTGAGGATTTGGCCTTTGTTGCTTCCGTTTCTATCTGGGTTCTTGGGTTGTTATGAGAAAGTTTCTATGAATTGGAATGAGATCAAACAGTTAGAGCAGAAACGAGTTCGATTACTGTCTTTGTTTCTCACCACTTTGTTGTTGTTCCCACTCGCTATTTGGAGTTTCTTGTTCTCTGGTAGTGGTGATGATGGTGTCTCTTTTGAGAATTTAGGTTGGCCTTTAGCTAACACTGTTGTGTTTGGAGTATTGTTGAGTGAGAATTATAATGACGATAAGTTTTCGAGCTCGAAGAAGAAGGATTCAGTGAGGGAGTTTCTTGTAACGTTTCTATGTACTATTGTATTGGAACTCTTCTATTTTCCTGAGTTGTCTCTTTGGGGATTGCTGCTTTGTGGTTTGTTGCTTTATGTTGCTGTTAGAGAGTTGGACTCTGTGTATTCAGATTATCAAGAGATTGGGATGGAATCGCCTGAGTCGTTTTCCACCATGTTTATGAAGCCTCTACGTCACATTTTGAGCGAGAAGAAATCGAGGAAGATTGCGTTGTTTCTTTTGATCAATACGGCGTATATGGTTGTTGAGTTTGTGGCTGGGTTTATGAGTAACAGTCTTGGATTGATCTCAGATGCTTGTCATATGTTGTTTGATTGTGCTGCTTTGGCTATTGGGCTGTATGCGTCTTATATCTCCCGTCTTCCTGCAAACCATCAGTATAACTATGGACGAGGTAGATTTGAAGTGCTTTCTGGTTATGTTAACGCGGTGTTCCTTGTTCTTGTTGGAGCTTTGATTGTGCTTGAGTCGATTGAGAGAATCTTGGATCCTCAGGAGATTTCTACAAATAGTCTCTTGGTTGTTTCGGTTGGTGGGCTTCTCGTGAATGTTGTCGGGTTAATCTTTTTCCACGAGGAGCATCATCATGCTCATGGTGGATCTGGTTGCACACATTCTCATTCGCAACATTCCCAAAGCCACAAACATGATGAGCATCATGAGCACGACCATCATCATCAGCATTCCCATAGCCATAAACATGAAGAGCATCATGACCATGCCCATCATCAGCATTCAGATAGCCATAAACAAGAGGAACATCATGAGCATGACCATCATCATCATTCCCATAGCCATAAACATGAGGGGTGCAACCACGACCATAGCCACAACCATGAGCATCATTCTGGTCACAAACTTGAAAAAAGTGAAAAGAAGGAGCATCGCCACATTGACCACAACATGGAAGGAATCTTTCTTCATGTTTTAGCAGACACAATGGGGAGTGTTGGAGTTGTGATATCGACACTCTTGATCAAATACAAGGGCTGGTTAGTTGCTGATCCAGCCAGCTCAATCTTCATTTCCATCCTCATCATTGCTTCAGTCATTCCGTTGCTCCGAAACTCCGCAGAGATTCTACTGCAAAGAGTCCCTCGGGCTCACAGACACGACCTGAGAGAAGCTATGAGGAACATACTTAAGACTAAAGGTGTTTGCAGTATCCAGAGACTGCATGTATGGAGTTTCACTAACTCAGACGTCGTGGCTACTCTCCATCTCCTTGTATCAGCGGATTCAGACAAGACGGAAACTAAGTTGCAAGTCTCACGATTGTTAGAAGATGCAGGAGTAAAGGATTTGACTTTGCAGGTGGAATCTGTTAACTCATAGCAATTGACATTGGTGACACATTAATTGTTCTTGATGGCGCTTCTTGATCATTACTATCTTAGAAACTGAAATAAAATTTTCAGTTGTGTTATGAAAAAAGGAACTTATTATAAAGTTGTATGATTCACAGAACAAAACATTTCTTAAACAGAGAATCAGAAATAGAAATACATTATTGATTTTGATAGTTGACATAATTATTTCCCAAATAACATCAAATATAAAACAAGCATGATACAATCACACTTTCTTTTATTTTGGTCCTAACTTCAACATAACATTTTTGAGTAAAGAGTCTTTTTTCATCAAACTAAACCAAATCAGTCCACTGAAACTGGTTTCATTTCTGCTGCTTCTTTCCTCAGTTCATCAAACAGAACAGACGACAAATATCTCTCTCCAAAGCTTGGATGAATCGTCTGTCAATTCATGTCACAAATCAAAACAAAAACCCACCAAAAAAAATAAAATTATTCTCTCTTACCACAATGAGTTTGCCTTTATTTTCTGGCATTTTCGCTAGTCTTATTGCCGCCACGGTGTTAGCCCCCGACGATATCCCAACCTACAAGTTAGGTTTCCATTGTTAAGATCAAAAAACCAACAGAAAAAATTAATTATCGTATCTATATAAAAAACACTCACCATGAGACCTTCTTTCAATGCCAATTCTCTAGCCATTTTTACAGCATCCTCACTACTAACCTGTTCCTCTCGCGTACGTATTCTCAAAACATAAGCTTTTAAAGTTGATAGAATATTATGAAAAAGATGGAAGGTCTAGCCTTATACATTACCTCAAGAACTTTGTCCATACAATCCATATCCAAGATATCCGGTTTGAATCCAACCCCATTGCCCGTGATCTCATGTGGACCTAACTCAAAGTTCAAAACTCTAACATTAGCAACCGCAAAAATCCGGATCTTCCACTGACTTATAAAGTGTTAAAGATTCAAAATGTTCACCTGGTTTGCCACCGTTGAGTATGTTGCTTTCAGCAGGCTCCACTCCATATATCTACCATTTGCAACACATTAATGATCAAAATCAATCGCTTTTTTCGATAATCAGGGAATATCTTCAGAACTTAATCAATCACCTTAACATTGGGGTTTTTAGATTTAAGGTATCTCCCAACACCAGTGACTGTACCTCCAGTGCCAATTCCCATCACGAATATATCGACATTCCCATGTGTATCTTCCCAAATCTCAGGACCAGTCGTATCATAATGAACCTATACCAATATTCCAAACATAACATTCATATATCTCTCAAATAAATATATAAAAAAATAATGAATCTCTAAATTTCTCTAACTCTAAAGAACCTGAGTGTTTGCTGGATTATTAAATTGTTGCAACATAAAAGCATCAGGAGTTGTCTCAAGGAGTTTATAAGCTTTCTTAACAGCTCCACCCATTCCTTTGGTTGGATCAGTGAGGACAAGCTCTGCACCAAATGATCTCATTGTCACTCTCCTCTCCAAACTTGTGTAAGAAGGCATTGTTATTATAATCTTGTATCCTTTCATTGCTGCCATGAAAGCCAAACTTATTCCCATGTTTCCTGAAGTTGGCTCTATCAATGTTGTCTGAAAAACAAAACATCAGTTGAATAGGTAAGAAATTATTATTATTTGAGATTAAATATGAAAAAAAAGCTGATTACTTTTCCAGGGGTGATTAAGTTTTTCTTCTCTGCATCCACAATCATGGCTAAAGCTGGTCTGGTGACAATAGAACATTCTTGGATAAGTATTATATTACTCAAACATGTGTTCTTTGATGTGAAGATTTTAGATTTGACAATCACCTGTCTTTGATGCTACAAGTAGGCTGGAAATGTTCTTGCTTGGCTGCAATATAAGCCTCACATCCTTCAGTCACTTTGTTGAGAAACACAAGTGGAGTTCTTCCGATGAGCTACAACACAATAAATTGTTTTCATTAGACATGAAAATAAAGAAGAAGAAAGGCAAGAACTTTGCAAGTGGAGTTCTTCCAATCGAGTTTTGAAAGTGTTTTATTTGTTTTGTTTACCATTGAGGCATCGCCTTTGGCTTTAGTGGATGGGAAAGCTTTGGGGTATTCAACAGTGGACAAGAGTGTACTCATGGTGTGGCTGATGCGGGTGACTAGACAGAGCAAACAAAATTCGAAGGGTGTGAAGAAAAATCTCAAACCACTTTGCTATATATAGGAATGTCCCTAAATGGCAAGTCATCAATTTGGTAAGAAAAATATTTTTGCTATTTGACTTGAATTTGAGATATTTCTTTATAGAAAATATCACAAAAAAAAAATTCTTTATATGAAGAGAATAAATACATTGAATTTTAATTCATCTTCTATTTTTGTTGACTTCTTGAAGTGCACTCCAAGTTTATTTATTTTATCTACTTTGAATTTTGATAATATTATTTTCTTTATTTGTTCTATATATGAAAATAATAAACACATTGAATCAAATTTTAAATTTAAGTAAATCAATTTTTTTTTCCATTCACACATTAATTAAAACACTCCAAAGTATCATCACTCAAAGTTTAAAAATGATAAAAGACAAGACAGAAACACCAAAGTTCAGACAAACTAACTTATAAAATAAGAACCAGAAGATGAACTTGAGTTATCAAAAACCAAATTCAAACTTAAGAAAAAAAAACACATCGAAGTTTAGACACTCAAAGTTTAAGAAGGTTAAAAGAAAATACAAAAACACCACAGTTCAGCCAATGAGAGTTTCATAGCAGAGTTAAAGAACCTTATTAGTCACAATAGAACACCTTTTTAGGCTATGAGGTATGTCAGACAATGACATCGAGGTGAAGGATGGGAACAAGTCTGTTCCTTTAGACTGTAATAGCATAGCCCGCCAATTGAGTAGCCTTCTCCCGGATGAAGTCATGGCTAGGATAATTTTCTTCTGCTCTGATCCTAAAGACAGCACGACAGGTGACAAAACGATCACTATATGTGTAGATTTGGTACATGAGATTGTTCTGGAATTATCACTAAAATCAAATCAGCTCTTGCAGTTAAGAGTAAAAACTGGGGAGGTGTCAATCCGGATTTTTAGTCAAAAATATATCACTCTATAATTTCTTGATTAATAGCAAAAAGTTTTTACTAACAGGTAAGAGAAATACAACTATGCCCAAACGTGTACATATTTTGGTAATTTAGTTTATAATATTTTATCAAAATATTTTTGTAATTGCTTTACTAATAGCAAAATCTTTAATAATATAAACAAGTAAAAGAAAGTGACACATCATATTTGTAATAATTTTTTATACCAAATTTTATCCTATAAACGTTTTTCTTTTTTTATTGAAACAAACATTTAAATAACATAAATGATACTAATTAATAATATAAATAAATAAAATTTGTGTTAAAAAGAATAAAAAAAATGAACCATTATAGTATGTTTGCATTACTAATGTCAATCTATATCTAATTAAATGTTTACTAAGCCAAAACTATATCAAAACAATCGAGACTTTTCAAGATTTGCTTCATTGCTTACACTGTTACTACTACAAAAACCTAAGCTGACATTGATGTTGAGCCTAACATATATATATCCATGAGAGCCACTACTACTGGTTTTTTGCAGCTCTAAAATTTAGAAATTGGGCTCTGAGTTAGCATTATTGCAATTAGAGGAACAATCATGTGAAGATTCAAGATTTAGAGTTTGTCTACTCAACTCTGAAGAAGAAGATCGATATGTTAGAAGTGAGACGTTTCGTTATAAAGAATATGTGGGTTTTGTGTTGTGTTGTGATGGTCAAGATTTTGTCATATTGACTCGCGGTCAAAGAAAGAAAGAGATGGATAAATGAAAAATGAAAGCATTAAGATTGTGAAGAAAAATATATATGGTTAAGTTATTTATAGAAGCAAAGAACAATCCGCAACATCAACAAAAAAAGTGACGCTTTCGGAATCAATGAAGTGATAAATGACTTTGAGGATTTTCCTAGATGACACCTTAAATTGAAAATTACACACTGTCAAACGGCGATTATTGAATCATTGATAATCAAGTGAATGTAAGCCTTTCACCGGTAGGTCGAGAACAGGAGCCGTCGACTAGGGCTGGTCCTGAGATTTTGGGGGCCAAATTCTCCAAAAAAAAATTCAGGTTATTTTTAAAAGTTTAAAAAGCTGGAGCCAATTATCGTAAAAATAAATAAATTTGGGGCCATTTATATATAAGTTTTCTTACAAATTTCACTATGTTGTGTCCAGGACCGGCCATGCCGTCACGGCATAGAACATAGAGCTTTCAATTAAGGACAACAATCACGTCAAGTGAAAGTGGCTTTATGTACTTTCATGAGCTCTTTCAGTATGGAACTACACAAACCAAAAGAAATGATAGCGCTAGCTCACTCTACAAATCTGTTTCTCTAATGTCGGTTAGCACATAGTAAAATCAACAAAACAAAACAACGCGACACATTCGATTGGTCTTACTAACTCTTCCAAACACCAATTCTAATCGATAAACCAAAGCACAAACCAACAAAAATCAAATCCTCATAGAGGCAACAAACATTTGAACACATCAAAACAAGAACTAGGCAACAACAAAAAAATTCCTGCCTAATGTATTCTAAAACAATTTTTTTTTCCTGCCTCTAATAATAAAATTTGTTTTTATTTGGCAGTGATTAGTCAATATCTATTAATGTATCTATTTAGTATATTTAGATTTCTAATATCCGTTATAGATAGCAGATTTTTAATGTCATTTTAGTAGCACCATTTATCTACCAAAATTGACACCTCATTAAAGAAAAACTAAATATTTGCAAGAACGCAAGTTTTGTCTAGAAGTTCACACTGATGGTCGAACACGTAAGTCAAAGTTCTTGTTTTCCTTCAATGATTTAATTAAATATCAACATGAAATAGATATTTACTTAAAATAACCCTAATTCTATTTAGTGAACATGCGTGTGAGTTTTCTATATACATATAAAACAAACTCCAAACTAGGACAAGAGCTTTAAAGTTCCTCTCCTCTCTCTTTCTCTCAAAACCAAAACGCAGAAAAAAAGAATTCTCCACAAGATGATGAAGACGAAGAGGAGACATGAAAGAGCACTTACATGTTCGTACATATACACTCGTACCGATAATGAATGAGAAGAGATGCATTAGAGGCTACTTCGGTGTTTCGCCGGGAAAATAAAAGTTATCATGAGTCGTCGGCGTACATGGGAAGGCCAGGCATTTTTGGTTTAATTTTCTCTCTTTTTTTTTATCATATTATGTAATTCTTTTTATGGAAAAATGTCCTATTTCCATAAAGTTTTTATTATTGTTATTTAGATTATATCGCTAACAAATTCGTAATAAGATGAAACGAAATGCTTTTCTACTTTTTTTTTTTTTTTTTTTTTTTAAATGCTTTTCTACTTGGGTCAATTAGGTGTATAACCATATTTGATAAGTAAATAAAAAATATAGCATCATAATCTTAGAAATTAAATCAATAGCACAAGGTCGTTGAGAATTACCATTTTGGGTTTTTAGTGAGAGGAAAAAATGACTTCTTTTTCTTACATGGAGCAAATAATAATTAAACCCCATCATAAGTTTTTTTGCTTTAATAATTGTTCTAAAAATTTATTCAATTTTGTGATTCTGCTTAAAAATCATGTTTCTTTTTTTACATATGATATAGTTTGGATTTTTAAAATCGGATACATATTTTTTACAATAGTGAATAGTGTAAAAATAGTATAGAATAAAATGAAAATAGTATAGATTAGAAATGAAGCATAGTAGCTATGATGATTCCGGTGACAGTGTGGGGGTGGTGGTTGCTAGTGTGGTTGTGGCATGGTGGTGATGGTTGCGGTTGTGGCGGCTATGGTGTTGATGACATGGTGGTAATGGTTGCGGTGGTGGTGGTGATTATAAATGGAACGAGACGCGGTGGCGATTATGACTTCGAAGAGGTCGACGATGACGAAAGGTTTCTTTCTAACGGTGTGGTGGTGTGACGGTGTGATAGTGGTTGCGGTGATGGTGGTGATGGTTGCGGTTGCAGCGGTGGTGGTGGTGGCGATGGTGTTGATGACATGGTGGTGGTGGTGATTATAAATGGAACGAGACGTAGTGGTGAATGGTGATTATGACTTCGATGAAGTCGACCATGATAAAAGGTTATGGTGGTGACAGTGTGATAGTAGTGGTTGCCGTGATGGTAGAGTAAATAGAATAGTTAAAAAGAACAGTGAAAAGATGGTAAGAAACAAGGGTATAATGGCAAATATTATAGAAAATATATTGAATATCATCCACTTTTTTTGTTTTGGTTAGTTAGTGAATTATTAAATTTTTGTTGGTTATTGATGCAAATTTTCCTTTCTACTTTCTGTGTGTTTTCATCTTTTTTCTACAACATTTACATTTCTTGTTGTAATGTGAATAAGAAGACTATATATTTATATATGGGCTTGTGGCATGTTGGGGCACTTTGTGAGTTATTATGAGCATATGGGGTACATATGAGGGAGTGGGTACTTTTTTCGAGTTTTTTCACTGTACAACAAAAATCAATACAATTTTGCCCTCAGATTTCCTACAAACGCTTAACTAGAATGGTTAGAAAGTAACTGGACATGTTTTAATTCTGGCCGTCGGATTTAAAGTCGAAAACAGATATGAGAGGGGTGGGAGAAAATACTGCAAAAACAAAACTGAAAAATAAAAGCTAAAGTTGACAACAACAAAAAAAAAAGCTAAATATCTTCTCTCCAACCATCGTCCTTACTTCTCTCTTCTTCTTAAATCTAAAATCAAATAAACAGAGCTTTTGATTTTGCATAGTCAATGAAGAATTCGGGATTAGATGTTAAAATCAGAGAAACAAAGAGTGTTATAGTGTACTTTTCTCCTTCTTAAAATTTTTTTTCCGATTTATGAATGCTCAAGGATGATAATCGTTTTATCAAATTCAAACCATTAGCTCACTGGGTTTCTATCCTTCAAGGCCTCTGTCCCACTTCTCGTCGGCAACCTCCGCAGTTCTTGAAGATGCCTCCACTTCATACTCCGTCCATTTTCAAATCGTTCCGGCGAAGACCTTAGCAGCTCGCTGTCAACCGCCGCCACCTCGCGCCGCTCTACCTTTGCTTGCGTTTCTCTCCGATTCACCGGTTCGGAGCATTCCGGTGTCCAACTAGACGAAGCATCTTTCCTCAGTCCTAAGGGCACCACGAGCTCAAAGCTTTGTTCGCTTGTTATCAATGGCAAAAGAACTATTATCATCCTTGGTTTTTAAGAAAAATCGAGTGTTGAAGATCGATTTCAACTCTGATTACCGGAGGATCGACTCTTGATTGATCGCCGGTGACTTTAAAAGAGAAGGCGAGAATGTCGTCGTTTACAGCGAGAGAAGGAAGAAAGGAGTATTTGGGAGCAAAATTAAAAATTAATGTTGTCCACTAAACCCAAAAGTCTGACCGGACAAAATTAAAACTTTATACATATTTGTTTTAAATACATGAATTAATTTACTAGTTAGCTGCTAGTAACCGTATTACTATAATTTATTTCTATAATTATATTAAACTTTGTTCATTTTGATTGTACATTTGTTGGTTGGTAAATAGATAGTTTGTGTATGACAATAAAAATAGTTACATGAAAAAAAACAAATTTTTATGGATAGCATGTGGTGGACAAAACTAAATAATTAGAGTTTTCAATAAAGAATGACAAATTCCGATTTTGATGTAAAAATCTTAGATTGTCGGTATCATGACAATGATGTAACTTCAGCAAAAATTTGTTCGATTTTAGAAAAATATGGGATCATGGCAGAGCATATCATGTCGAAGATAATCGTCGATGTCGGCACACTGAAAAAAAACTCCGATCAAGCATTATCTCCTTTGTTGTCGTCGAGTGGTGGTGGAAGGCGGAAAAGATCGATGAGTTTCTTTGTGGTGTTCACTCTTCTTACCATCCTTCATCTTCTACTCTCATGCATATCTTGTTTTAAATTTTCCAATTCAATTGTTTTTAAATTAAAATTTTTGAAATTTTTTGTCAAATTCATGGTAGGTACGTAATGGATAGAGCAAGAACCATGAAAGTTTTTCACGACATAAAATAGAATCAATCAATCAAAAAGATGCATCACATTTCTATGATAAAAATGAAAATAAGATCTTTAGCTTGATGATGGGTACGTGGTGAAGAAGAAGCTAGTTTGTAAACAGTGTACATATAAATGGTTATTTGTGGATAATTAAAGGTGGATTGTTAAATTAATTAAAATCTTATGTATACGACAAGTTTTGTTTAACATTGCTAAATATAATATTGAATTTAATTAACATCTTATACAAATTTTTTAAATGAAATACATGAACTAAAATCTACTAGTTAGCTGCTAGTAACCACTTAAATTGTCAATTGGTAGGGAACCATTTATTTCCTTTCAGATTATTAATCGATTGGGTACAATTTGTTCGTAATTAAGTATCCGTTAGCGTCAAAGCCATGTAGACAAGCATATATGTTATCCAAACAATTAATCAAAGGAGACGATTTTGTCTTTCTCTCTGATTATAATTTAGATTTCTAGTCAAACGTTGTTTCATATTATCAATTTTGAATAACAAAATATTAAACCCTTAACTTATCCCCTAAGGGCTAAACATAAACAAAGTGAGAAAAAAAGAAAATCCATATGATCCAATCCATATAGACATCAATGGAATAAATAATCTCTAATGATGAGAAGCATGTTATGTAACCATAAATCCTAATATCATTGTAGACAACCATGGTTCCTTAACCCTAAACTCTAAATACTAAACCATAATTTATATACCATCTCATCCCCTAAATTATTGTGGACAATATCGTTGCTAAAACTCTAAACCCTAATCCTAGACATTTAACTCTAAATCCTAAACCTTAAACCCTAGATACTAAACCATAAACCCTAGCCCATGAACCTAAACCTTAAACTCAAAACACTAAACCCTAAATCGTAAAGGCAAAACCATTAATCCTTAACCTTTAACCCTAAACCCTAACCCCTAAACCCTAGATACTAAACCCTTAACCCAAGACACTAAACCCTGAACACTATATACTAAACCCTAAACCATAATTCGTAAACTATAAACCCAAAACCTTATATATTAAACTCTATACCCTAGATACTAAACATTAAACCCAAGACACTAAACTCTAAACCTTATACACTAAACACTAAACCCTAAACACTAAACCCTATACCCTAGATACTAAACCTTAAACCCTATATCATAGACACTAAACCCTAAACCCTATAACCAAAATCTTAGACCATAAGCCTAAATCCTAAACACTAGATATTAAATCCTAAACCCAAGACACTAAACCCTATCCCCTAAACCCTAAACCCTAAAATCGTTAACCCTATACCCTAAACATATAGACTAAACCCTATACCCTTAACAATAAGTCTTAAACCCTATACCCTTAACTTATACCATAAACCTTAATCACTAAACCGTTAACCCTAAAACCAATACCCTAAACCTACAAAACTAATGTCCACGAAACTATATCCACAATGCTGAAGTCCACAAATCTTTGTCTACAAAGCAACACTTCATTAGAATCTACAAAACATTTGGTACTATTTTTGTGTTTCCATCTCCTCTTCATTTGCTGAGCTCAAGCCTTTTAATGGTGATATAGTATAAAAAATTTTACTTCCTTTGCATGATAATTTGAAATGTCCGTTGAAGATAGTATATGTGGACGATGAAAAAAAATATTCCACCATAACAAAAATGTAAATTCCAACTACGTTGAGTAAATTTAAAATACTTGAAAACTTGTAATATGTCATTACTAACTCTTTTGGTGCCCATAATAATAAGGGCATGAAAAGTTTTAGATAGTTTGTGTAGAATCAATTATTAGATTTATTTTATTGCAAAGCTTGTGTTGAAGCAAGTCTTATATTGATGGAAAGATGAACTTGAACTGTTAGTTCCTAGATATTTTTTGGTTTTTGCAATCTCTTTTAAACAATCTCTTTTGACCATCCATATGTTCACATCCATCATCTAGTAGGTTATAGAGTTAACTCTAAACCCTACCCCCTACCTACTAAAGCCAAACCGATCTTTAATTAACTTCTTTAATTAACCCTATCCCCTACCTACTAAACTCAAACCGATATTTAACTTCTTTTAAATATAGAACACTAAAACCTACCCCTACATACTAAACCCAAACAAATATCTATCTTCGTCAACAATATAAACCCATTAAATATATATAATGATTTATGGTCGATGAAACAAAATATTTCACTATAGCAAAACAAAATAGAACACAAAAAACCATTATATGTATATATATATATATTGAGCACATAAAGAATCTTACACTTCTCTTTAAAACATTTTCCATAATAACATGTCCATCGCAAAAAAAATAAAAGACTAATAATGTGTAAAACAAAACAAAAGTCCCAAAACAAAATTGCAAACATAACTCTTTGTGTTAGCGAAAATGTAAATTCCAACTACGTAGAGTAAATTTAAAATACTTAAGAACTTGTAATATGTCATTCTATAACTCTTTTGGTGCCCATACTTGACATTTTTAGATAGTTTGTGTAGACTCAAATCTTAGATTTTTTTTTAATGCAAAGCTTGTGTTGAATCAAATCTTATATTGAAGGAAAAATGAACTTGAATTATTAGTTCCTAGATATTTTTGGTTTCTACATTTGAACCGGTGTGAAGAGACAATCTCGTTAAAGCAATCTCTTTTGACCATCCATATGTTCACATCCATTATTTAATAGGTTCATATAGAGTGTGATGAGCATAATTTTTCTCAATTATTCCATTATTATATAATCAACGGTTATTTGATTTGGAGAACTGGAATAAAAAGAAGAGGTTGGAAAGTCCTTAGGTGATAATAAACACACAAGTTCATTTAGGTGATAATAAACACACAAGTTCATTTAGGTGATAATAAACACACAAGTTCATTTGTGGCATGTTAATAACTATCGTATAGTTAGATTCAAGTAGCTGTATTTCTTAAAGATACAATAAGGTAACCTTTGTTTCAAAATCCATGTTTTTAGATACTACAATAAAGGTAAAGGATCATGTTTTGTGTTCTAATATTGTCCACAAATCTTTGTCCAATAGGCGGTTACCTATATGGATTATATCGGATGGACACAAATTCATGGAAGTGAAGAAAACGATGATAAATTCACAACTCAAACAAAAATCCCACTCACAACATCCAATCAAACTGAGAGACTTTTACCTTAACTTTTTGAATTTTTTTGAAAAACTTGTGATTTCGTCCAAATTTATCAAACGCCATATAAAAGTAATGTATCCATGTCACTTTATCCATCAAATGTTAGGACAAGCTTCACAAAATCTAACCAAAATCACTGCGATTAACACTCGTCTCCTCCTTAAATCTCTTATTGGAAAATGGTTCTCTGACTGCTTTATGATATAGATTAAAAGAATAAGGATCCTAAAATATTCACAGGGCAAGGAAGCTCAAGTAAGAGAATATTTAGATGACATCTCCTAGTAGAAAAATCATTCCAAGAGATTGACAAAATAAGTACCTCCACACCAAGAAGCATACGATCAAAAGCAACAGCCATGTTTGATATAACAGTCTCATCTACCCTAGAAGCTCCGCTACTTAAAACCTAAAAAAAAACATCAGTAAGACAATGTGAAGTTCAGTGGACTGATGTTCTTTAATCTAAATGAATTCCAAAGCATAGCAACAATCGTACAAACTAGTGTGTGATAAAAGGATTCATTTACTGCATTTTTGTAGTTCCAATACAATTCTTCCATTCATGATGCAACATTTGCAGGCAACTTTCCAGCTTCAGCTTCCTTCTTGATTCCAAATAAAAGATCTGAATACGGAAATGAAGATAAACACATAGTTAATACATGCATTGTTACACATCCATCCAGAAACTCCAAATTGCATTACAGAGACGTTCTTATCGATTTAGAACAAGAATGGAGAAAGATCATAAGCAAAAACCAAGAAGTCAATTCGATTAACCTTATCCAGTCAAACAAGAAACAAAGTCGAATATCGATTTCGCGATAAGATTATGAACAACAAGAATCGAACAATCTCCATAACTCTAAATTCCATCTCCGAATTGCTACGACAAGTGAAACTAAGGAGTCAATTCAAATTCCTCAGGAAAGAAGAAGACTAACTAACCTTGTTCACTTCGCCCATCCATGAAAGTACGGGAATGATTAAGCTCACTCGGCGTCTCACCGGCGGTTTCATTTAAAGCAATGCTCGTCGAAACGGAAGATTCCTTATCCTGAACAAGCTCAGACATCGCTCTCACACTAACGCCGCCGCGAGAACGAAGAGGAGGCAGAAAAAGCTTTTTCGCGGTTAATCTGAAAGAAACGAATCCGCGAAGAGTCGAGGAAGCGAGTGGATAAACCGGAACCCTAGCGGAGGAGGTTACGGTTGCAGCAACAACGGCAACGGTTGCAAGAGAATCCAATGGAAAAAAAGTTGAAAAGAAAGAGAAAATAAAAAGAAATGAGTTTACAGAGAGAGAATCCGATGGAACAAAAGTAAAGAGAGAGGAATGTGTCTTTAGTTAGATAGTTAGAGGGTGTAATGGTAAAAAAACTTAAAAAAGTACCCACTACCCCTAAAGTACCCCAACATGAGATTGAGTTTTATAAAAGTGCTCCATAGAGCAATATTTCCTTTATATATTACTATATTTATGAACAAATTATATATTTTTGTTTAATATATTGTCGTTGTTTGTTAGTTGGTTCAACGTCAAATCAATTGGCAAATTATAACATATGTCATCCTTGTTTATTAAAAACTAGTGTCGTAGCAGTTACGTGGCTTTCCTTGTTTCGAGCATTCACGCTACATATATCAATAATAAATATGTATATATACTGTCTATTGACAAATATTCAGGTGCTGAAACGTGAAATAACAAGTATGTAGGTATAATGGAAAGTATGCGATCTACTAGAAATTTCTAAGAATTTAATACTTTCTTAAATGATATGTGTGTTGAACTCAAATGTGGGAAAAATGGGTAAAAAAACCCTCACCTTTCTTAAAAACATAGAAAAAATCCTCAACTTTTTTTGTGGGTTTTTAAACCCTCACCTTTTTATAAATGGTTAAATAAACCCTAATATTAATAAACTCAATTTAATTTTTTAAAAATCATTATATTAAAACAGTAACTAACAAAAAAAAATTTAATTTATGATTTTTTATTTCAAATTCGAGTTTACGATTTTTTTTCTAAAATTAGGGTTTTTGTGCTATGAACATTTATTCACCATTTAGTTGAGATTAGGCAAATTATTTTTGTTATAATTAGAAGTTATGTTATATAAACTACAAAAATTTAGAGGATATCACATTTGATTTTTTTTATTCGAATGTTCAGGTTTTGGATAAAAATATAGTTAAATAATGATTAATTAAATATAATTTATATTATATTTGAATATATCGTAATATATATATATATATATATATAGAAATATTAATTGTTAGTAAATCTTATTTAGTTTGTCCAATGAAAATATTTTGATGTGGAAATTCATGTACTTTTCATAGTATTATAAAATTGGGTTTGGTTTTACATTAGTAAATTTGTGTGATCGAACCTAATAAACCTTTATTAATAGAAACTCATATTCGGTTTCGATATAAGAATTTACATATAATTCGTAACAAAATCTGTTTGGTTTCACGTTGATGATTTTTTGTAACACACCGAATAAAACTTCACTAATTAACTTTTTTACATCATGACTTACATATTTTCAATTTAGAAAAATATTGTAAACTAGAATTTTAGAAGAAACACCCGAAATCAAATTTTTCTTATTTATTTATGTTTTAGTATAACGATTTTTTTGAATTTAAATTAAGTTTTTAAATACTAGGGTTTATTTTACCATTTATGAAAAGGTGGGGGTTTAAAAACCCACAAAAAAAGTTGAGGGTTTTTTCTATGTTTTTATGAAAGGTGAGGGTTTTTCTACCCATTTTTCCTCAAATGTGTCTTGAATCTATTTAGACTGATATACCATATATGTATCTAGTAGATATTTCAATTAAAAAAGACACTTGAAGTCTTTCTCAGGTGGAACCCTTTTAGCTCATTGGTTTACCAAAAGTTAACTTATTTTTTTACACCGAGAAATATAGGGTTCGAGTTCCAGATACTAAGGCAAGTGTACAAAAGGTCTCCAACGATGTACAATTAGAGCCGTTCACCGTGATTCTAAGCAGAGAGGGAAGTGTCGTCAGGTCGTGGATCATTTGTCCATCAAGAGCATGGAGAAGGAAGTGTTGTCTGTCGTGAATCTAATAAGGGTCGGAAGGAATTGTCCGTGGTAGAATCGTCTATGTAAAAGTTCTCATAATTTGCAATATATAATAAATCTAGATGTTAAAAAAAATCTTTATAAGAAAACCCAAAAAGAGCTAAAAAAGTTAAATCAAAATGGTGTAAAATGAACAAAATTTCAGGCATCAATTTCTTTAATTCATAAATCATACTGTTTGTTTCATTTAAAATGATTTAAAGGTTTTCTTAAATTAATAAATTATTAGCTTTTATGTTTTTTTTTTTACTTTAGATATTATTATTCACCTACCTTAACAATAATTCGACCAAATAGAAGAATATAAAACAACATTAAATTTTTATATTGAAAATTAAAAGAAATCAAATAAATTGAAACAAATATTTTTTTCTCTTAGACATCAATTATTATGAAACGGAAGGTAGTATTTATGAATATATATATATAGTTTGGTTTAGTTATCTAATGGAGTTACTACATGTAAACTGAAAACTAGGTAATAAACTGAAAACTAGGTATAAAGGTCTATCATAAATTCCAAAAACAAAGCTAATATACTTTTTCTTGATATTTTGTCTAATAGAAGTACAAGTAGGAGTATAGAATAAGAGCTTGACAAAAAATAAATACCACGCATAGTTTATCCAAATCTAAATCCTCAAATTGCAATATTGTAGTTATACTACAATACATACAAAAAAAAAATTATCTAGATATTTTGGGGTAATGAATATTTTTGGAGGAGACAAGAAGAGAAGGAATGGTAGAGAGGGAAATTGCCGGCAATTATCAAAACAAGACGGCACGCATTGCGCCCGAGGGGCTCTTCATTGTTGACTTCACTTTCACTCTCGTTTACTTTTCTTTGCTATTAATTGATTTCTTTATTTGTTTTCTTAATTTTGCATGCAAATACACTAATTTTTTTTTTTATAATTTCATCTCCCTACTTAAAAATGTATAAGATCAATGTGTTCTTTTTTACCAATGTGTCTTTATTCCATACGCAAGTATCAAATTTTGTTTTCTTTCACCTATTTCCAGTAACGCATTCTTAGTGAATCCTTCAACTATTTGACTACCACCACTTTCACACTTTTATGTTTTTTGATGTTTAGCTTTCTGCATGTGAAATGGTTTTATTTTGTTTTGGTATTTTTTGTCATATCATAACCATATATATATACACCTCTCAATATAGTTTTTGGCGATTATGGATTCCCGAATTTTTTTTTGGCAAAAATACGGAACATAGCGGTGATATGCTAAGAACAAATAGATGTAGAACGTAAATCTATCACTGCACAAACTTTTAATTGAAATCCTTCTTTTTAAAAATGTCATTATTTAGTGCTTATACTAATTGATTGATCAGATGTTGAATTAGTAATATCGATAATGTCAGATATCCGTATAGGCCTATGGCTATTACATACGAAACATGGCACCATTTTATGACAGTATGGCACCATTTTCTTCTACGTTGTCAGTTGTCAACAAATAATTTCCACATAATTTTTTTATATTATAAGATTGGGATCGTATTTCTCCTTTCTCAGGTTCACATTTATTCAACTACTAACATAAATGTGCTTCAAAATTTTTGGACCGATTGACTTTTGGGGCTTGATCTAATAAGTATATATATTACTTTGTTCATGTAAATTTCTTACAATTATTTTTTACAATTCAGTTCCAATTGTTTGTTGATAAGATAGATAATGAAATTCAACCATACTAAGATTAATATTTTTTTGGCCGTAAACCAAATTGATTTTTTGTTTTAATAACGGAGACCGTCGAAGAAGTGCCTTGACGCGCCGCAGCCATTTGGTCTCGGTACACTCTGAAAAAAAAATATAACCAAATCTCTTCAGAAGGATTTTCAAGCTAAAAACCAATTTTTATTGAAAGTTTTTATAGTTAATAAACAAACTCTAAAATGTAAAAGTGAAGAACTTGAACTTAAACTTAACAAAAGTTGGATGGAAAATTTACATTTGCTCTAAGAGAATTGGTACCCATGACCAAAAGTGAGGTAATTAATCGTAAATAAGCGTTAAATAATTTAATTAAAAACAAATAAATAAGCTGTGATAAATTTTTTACTCAAAATTTAGAAGAAAAAAAACATCAAATTGACTAAAACAAAACAAAAAATAGTGAAAGGATTACTTCATTAGGTTAATTGAATTGAATGTAAACTCGGATGCATTGTTTACTCAAAAATTACAAAAATACATTCAAATGATTTTTAAAACAACATAAAGATTAATTCATCAAATTAATTCAATCGATGTAGTGTTGTTTTAAATAATGAAATATGGATGCAAAAACTAGTTATAGATTTTGAATATAAATTACTATGAGATACAAGCATGGCTACAAATTAATAATCTTCTCAATCATCTACCGCTTGATGTACTAATCAAAGAAAATTTTGTGTGTACACGGTGGAATCACGAGGTCAGTTTTGGTGGAACAAATTGCAAATATCTATAGGCTCACTTTTATGGTATCTAGACCCATGATTTATGTAGGAAAAAAGTTAATGCTTTTTAATCAAAATAGATTTTTTGAAATCATGGGCTTGTGATATTCCAAAAAGCGGACCTTCGAGTAATTCCTATAAGTTACATTAAAACCAATCCTGCCGATTTCACATTGTACACATAAAAATTTCTTCTCAATTAGTGCAATAAGTAAAAAAAAATGATTGGAATATTATTAATCTTTAACTAAATTTACTTGGCTTATTGAAACTAAAACTTCAGAGCCGCTCTCTCTTAAAAACCAAAAGATGTATGGATGCTTATAAATCATACGTGACGGAGGAGAGATTTTCACCATTACGAAGGAGAAACAGTGGGAAAGTGAGTACTGGTTCTTATCACTAATGAGAAGTATTAAGTGAAGAATACTGAAGCAGATTGAAGCTTGGGCAAAGCAAAACAGAAGCAAATAAGGAAGAAGATGAAAGAAAAAGGAGTTGTTCAAGTTGGGGTTTTGTGAGGCTTCTTATCGTCGGACTAGAAGGAATCAGATCACGATTAAGGCGTCTCTGCAAAGATCACATTGCCAAAAATCCACAGCAACTGACGGAGTTTGAATCAAGGTTATATTCAAGAAGTTATGCATGTTTCTTTCTGGACAAGTAACTGAAGAATCTGATAAACCTTAAACCCTAGGAAACAGTTTCGTGTTAGCTTCTTTGACTCAACGTTTGGAGGGCTGAAACTATGCCGATCGAGACGGAATATGGTGGAGAGTTTCGTGGTACTGCTGGCTAAATATTCAACGGTGGGATTACGTTTCTAACGGTTAGAATTTGATTTATACGTATGTTTCCAATACAGTTCTGTTTAGAGTAAACTATAACGAGTTTTATTGTTTGGTTGGTAGAGAACCAAAGAGGAGCTAAAGAGCATGTTGTTGCAGATAAGATATAAAGTATGTCTAAAGGAGAAAGGAGAAAGAAATGTTCTTCATTTTCAACTAGGCTAAGGTGAGGGTGGTATTTGCGGATATGCACTGATTTATTTCCTTATATACTCTTCGATAGTTGCTGAGTATAGGCTCGAGAATTGTTTTTTTTTATTTATGTGAATTTGTGTGTATGATGATATTGTTAGGTTGTTCGTATCATGATATGTGAAATGCATTAGTGACATGATTTGGTATCATGTTTAACGTATATTAAATTATAAAAATGATTAAGTATACGTATATGAAAAGAGAAAACTAAAGAGTATGAAAAAGATACTTGAGGAGGTTGGACTGTAATGGATCGACGGGTTCATATACAGGTCATTAACCGCTGACGAGCAGTACGGAAAGGATCGAGATACGGGCCGTGGTCTTCCATAAATAGGCTTGAGTAGCCAAAGTTAATATAGGCTTGAGTAGCCATAAGTTAAAATACTTAAAACTAAAAATGAAAGTAAATTATCTTGTTGTGAGAAAGGCGAATGCTTGTTTGTTTGATTGATAGACATTCTGAATCTATGCTAAGTAATGGTTGTTGATTATGTTTAATTTGGAACGTGATTACTGTATGTCCAGTGGGCAGAGTTGATCTCCTCACTGAGTAAACTTGTTTTACTCACCCATTTTTCCCCTTTTCTCCAGGTAAGTAAGTTTCAAAAGTTGCGGGTTGAAGTTTGTTCGTTGGTGAATTTAAAAGAAAGAAACGTTTTGGCAAGACCGGATGAATAACATACAGTCTCATCCTTTGTGGCGGGACGGGTGTTACAGAACCCGAATTTGCAGAAATTTTAGATCGCCACAACAATATATATATAGCCAAAATATCCATATTGGAAGTGGAAGAGGGGACATCAACGTTGTTATTAACCTCCCTAAAGTGATGTTTAAAAAACGGCAAAAATTTTAATCACAAACTATTTATGTTGGACAAAAAGAAAATAGTCACAAACTACTAATTTTGAGAAGTGCATATGTCCTCTCCTCAATTGTTGACGTGGTGAAGAAATAGAGAGAGTTATAATTAGTGATCTATTTGTATATTTAAATCCGTTACAAATTTATTAGAAATATTATTTATTTATGTGTGCATACTTTTGTATTGTAAATAAATAAATTTATACACACTTGTATATTGTATTATAAATAATTGTGCTGGTATTTTTAGTATACAAAAAGTTTAGTGCAAAGTCATAAATGCTCTTATTTTGAAATAATAACACACCGCTCCAAAATTGTAATAATGGAATGAAACATAGATATATGAAGAACTAAAGAGAATAAAATCACATAGGCACACCATAATCTAGAAAAGAAACATAGGTTTCGCTAACTAACACAAAAGCAAAATCTACTTAAATATAAATACATACAGAGTGCATATCAAAAATATGAGAAGCAATCCCTAATAATAATATTACTCTTATATCTAGTTTCCACACACAAACATAAAAACCATTTAGAGGAAGTGAGGGAATGTGCTGTTCATGAGAGCATTGGCCATGATGTGATTAGTCTTCTGTGTTGGGTGAAATGAGTCCCAAAACACATACTTGTCTGCGTTTGTACATGTGAATGGGTTATTCCTTTGGCAACCATATCCCATCTCGAACATCCCTGACGCGCAACATGCCGCTCCCACCACCTCGAACCCTTCATTTTTTCACCATTCAAACATTAATACATGTAGTTATGTTTATACAAATTAATAGAGAGATAATAAAGTTATTTATGATGGGATTGTTAATTAGCTAGCTTACCAAAAGAGGAAGGGTTCTTGATGATCCGCATAAATGGTTCATAGGGATTTGAGAAAACGAGGTTGGAACCAGGAAGCTCTTTGCTCAGCTTCTCAACCATCTTCTCAAGCTTGCTGTTGAACTGGACCGCTATGTCGTTGTACCGTCCAACGCACTCGCCTCCTGTGCCAATGTTGGTGGCTCTCTCCAAAGGCATGCATCCCATTGGTGGCAATCCACCTAGTGAGATCTTCCTTGCACCAAGTCCATGCAACTTCTTCACAAAGTCTTTCGCGATTCCGGCTAGAAAATCTTGGTAAAGACTGACGGAATATTGCGAAGAACGGCCCGGAAAGGCAAAGTAATTCTCGAGGAAATCGTTGGTCCCTATGCTTATGAGGTAGAGAGAGTTTTCTATAGTCTCTGTGGCTCTGTCTTTTCCTTGGTATGCTTTAAGTTTTGTTTGGTATTCTTTGTAGTATTCGAGTTGTTTCCATAGAGGTAGTACCGACTGCAATCGCAATCGAATATATATAATTACTACATGTTAAAAAATTATTCCATGAAATATTATCGTCATTTTTGTTTAAAAACTAATTATCAAAATTAACATTTACAAACGAATTTACATTAGAACTATACTTTTGTTAAATAAATAAATAAGTGTAAACAAAGACTTCTCACGAATAAAATACAAAGATTTGTTACATTTTATAACCAAAACAACTATGATAGTTTTTTTCATAAATATTATACTATATTTTATATCTCATCAATAATAAATGTTTTATAAAGACGTGTAGTTATGTATCATATCAAATAGTATCTATGTAATAAATACAAGTGTAAGAAAAGTCCGTACCAGAACATCAGAAGTGGCGTTGTCATAGCCAGTGGCAGCAGAAGCAAATGTGACACCTGTTGCAAAATCTGAAATGTTATAAGAAGGATCCAAGTATGCCGGAATTATTGGTTTAAGCCCTAAGGCTTCGGACATAAAATCCGTCGCAATCTTTCCGTTACAAAACCGACCGGTCGGCTTTCCACCAACAAAGTCCCGTCCATATGGCTCAAAGTTGCTTCTCGCAACAGTTGGGATATAATTGTTGTTCCCAGCATCAACAGTAGAGTCGCCAAACACGATGATCGCCGGTATTTTACCGGCAAATGTTACGGCTGGCGACGACATAGCTATTAGGAAAAGAATTGTGAAGAGACTTTTGAGGTGTCCCATAGTGTTTATTTTGTGGTTATGATTGTGATAGTGTGATTCCATGAGCTGTAAAAGAATAGGCCTCTCTTTATAAGAAAACATGAGTGTTTGAAATGTGGTTTCATTGAATAAGGAGAGGTTTGTTGTGTGTTTCAATTAATGCTGAAAAATTCTGGTGAGACATTATTATTTTCAGCACGATTTGTTGTTTGGTCGTTTGCCGCTCCATCAATACTGCTATCTTTTACCGTTGGATTATTGACTTTGCTATGTGTGTACTCTCTAAATTTTTGTAGTTATATATGATTAGGGATATCACCAAAAGAGAAATATTTATATCTTAATTCTTCAGTTAGGTTTTAGTTTATGAAAGGAATTATCTGTCGAGAGACTAAATGATATGTGTAGTTGAGTAGGGTCTACGTATCTTATCCAATCAATTCAAGTTGGTTCAATCGTTGAAAATACTTCTGAAATGATGTTTTGGGTGTTAAACGAAATGGTCTCCTACTCTCTAGATTTATGCATCGCCCAATAATCCCCATCAGGAAGATCCTTTTAAATTTCAAAAAAAAAAATTACTCACAAAATAAATGTATCCTTAGCTATTACACAATTTAGAGTTTTTGTCCATATCCAACGAAACTCGACCATGAGTAACCGACTAAAGATTCTAGTACATGAATCGAAAGGAAACCCAAACCGGTATCAGTAAACCGGTTTTTCACCTAAGCGAATCGGTTTAATCATTTGTAGATAACCGGATAAACTGAAAAACAAGTACTAATAATGTATGTACTAAAATTTAAGCAAAACTAAAAAACCCCGGCATACATTTTCAAAAGTGGATAAATAGGATAAACCAAAATAACTGAAGCGGTGAGTGTGATTGGTTTGTTACCTGACCGAACAAAAGAACAACGAAAGCAGAGAGAGTCTGAAAGAGCTCGGGGATTGATGATCGTCGCCCGAACACAAACTTAAAGAAAACGAATATGAGATTGGAACGAAAGACACTTCTTATTGAACTTAACCAGGGATCGGCAGAATACAAATAGACTCGAATGTCGATCGGCTAAATACAATATTTGGACGATTAACTAGCTTAAGATCAGACTATGTGTAACGCCCCAACCGTCCCTACCAGTAGGCCTCACATCCTCTCTCGGGCCCATGGGCCCACCCCTGTCCGACGGCCAGTCCGCTACGTCCGGGAGGCTTTAAAGACTTGTTTACCGACCCTACAAATCACCACATGATCTTTCCCAGTATTTTGTCCTCACTCACACAGTTCCGACAATCACTTCCCGGAAGGTCACCCATCCTGATACTACTCCAGCCCAAGCACGCTTAACTGTGGAGTTCTCTCAGGACAGTTGACCGAAAAGATAAGTGCACTTTGGTGACATAGGTGGCCAAATCAATTCTTTTAAACCTCTCCGCATGCACCACCATATTCCTGAAATCGGGGTGTTACACTATGTTAACTATGGGTTCGAATCGGATAATTCCTGACTCCCACACCAGTCAAATGTAATACCCCGGTTTGAGGAATATGGTGGTGCATGCGAAGTGGTTTATAAGAATTGATTTGGCCACCTATATCACCAAAGTGTACTTATCTTTTCGGTCAAATGTCTAGAGAGAACTCCACAGTTAAGCGTGCATGGGCTGGAATAGTTTCAGGATGGGTTACCTTCCGGGAACTGATTGTCGGAACTGTGTGAGTGAGGACAAAACACAGGGAAAGATCATGTGAAGATTTGTAGGGTCGGTAAACAAGTCTTTAAAGCCTCCCGGACGTAGCGGACCGGCCGTCGGACAAGGTGGACCCATGGGCCCGAGAGAGGATGTGGGGCCCACTGGTAGGGATGGTCGGGGCGTTACAAGTGGTATTAGAGCCGAACCCAGACGAGTGTGAAGTCAAGAGGGCTCACACCGTAGGAGGTGACGTTCTTGGTGCGCAACAAGGACGTTGCGATCTGTTAGTGGGGGTGAATTGTAACACCCCGATTTGAGGAATATGGTGGTGCATGCAGAGAGGTTTATAAGAATTGATTTGGCTACCTATATCACCAAAGTGCACTTATCTTTTCGGTCAAATGTCTTGGGAGAACTCCACAGTTGAGCGTACTTGGGCTGGAGTAGTTTCAGGATGGGTAACCTTCCGAGAACTAATTGTCGGAACTGTGTGAGTGAGGACAAAACACAGAGAAATATCATGTGGAGATTTGTAGGGTCGGTAAACAAGTCTTTAAAGCCTCCCGGACGTAGCGGACCGGCCGTCGGACAGGGTGGACTAGGCCTGGGCACAAATATGGATCCACATAGAACCGAACCAAACCGAACCGAAATTGATGGGTTCGGTTCGGTTCCGATTCTAGTGAAAATATCGATTGGATCTTGAATCAAAGAACCATGGGTAACGGTTTGGTTCGGGTAGGAACCGATATCCATTCGGGTATCCAAAAAATATAGCCCATTAACCTATATTTATATAACCCAAAGTCTCAAATCCATCTAGACATAAACCTAACTACCCAAGCCCAACAACCTACCATATATCTCTCTTAGCCTCTTATATATTTTTCTGAAACCTAAAGAGAAACCCTCGTTTGTTCTCTCTTTCTCAAAGAAGGAGACGCCGCAGACAACAACTCTCGCTCTCGAATCATTGCAAATCGAAGACAAAACTTCTTTTGGTGTCTTTAAAACTTGTGTTTTGTAGTATTTTTTAAATTTTGGGTGTCTTTTGACTTAATACTTTCCAAATTTCAACTATTTTTTGAATTTGTAATGGTATGATAACTAATATGTGATGTTGCATTGCATACTTGCATAATTGCATTTGAATTTTGCATTATAATTCTATTGTTTTTTCGGTTCCAAAAATATCCGAAACAGTTTGGTTCCTATTCGGTTCCAAAATTTATTACCCAAACCGAACCGAACCGAATAGGAACTGAACCAGAACTGAACCGATTTTGATTTGGTTCTAATATGGTTCCTAAATCTCAGAATCAAAATGCTTGGAACCGAATGGTTCGATTCTAGAACCGAACCGAATACCCAAACGCCCAGGCCTAGGGTGGACCCATGGGCCCGAGAGAATGTGGAGTCCACTGGTATGGACGGTAGGGGCGTTACATCAAAGCCGCCTTTCTCTGCCACCATGTGATTGCTTTTATAAATATTTACATTTTACCAAAAAAAGAAAAGAGCGTAATTCAATTTTAAGATTGAGCTCCATTCAATAAATATTAGTTTGAGTGAATTTCTTTTTTTTTTGTTTTGTTTATCTATTTTAAATGATCTAAATATTGATTTTAAACTCTTTTTTTTATATAATCTATTACCTTCTCTATAACTTGATCATAATGACATTTTAAAGGTTGGGCTCGAATCACGGTTCACTCGTGGCAACATCGACGGTTTTCTCGTGTCTTCTTTCGTTAGAACGTTCTACCTTCTTTCGTTAATTTCATCTTTTAATGCCTTCTCCAATACTGTTGTTTGTTGCATAGTTATTAGTTTTATGTTTCTCTTTGTTTTATTTCCTTGTTTGTAAGAAATCTAAAATCTAGTATAAACTTTTATATTATACCAAAACAAAAAAAAAGTGCCTACCAAAAAAAACAAAAAAAAGTTAAGAGTGTAATTCAATTTTAAGATCGAGCTATCCATTCAATAAATATTAGTTTGGGTGAACCTTTTTTTTTTGTTTTGTTTATGTATTTTAAACAATCTAAATATTGATTTCAAACTCTCTTTTTTGTCATCTATTACCTTCTCTAACTCGATCATAATGACATTTCAAAGGTTGGGCTCGAATAACGGTTCACTCGTGGCAACATCGATGGTTTCGGATCGTAGTTCACTCGTGAAAACATCGATGGTTTTCTCGTGTCTTCTTCCATCAGAGCGATCTAGCTCCTTTGATTAATTTAATCTTTTCTGGCCTTCTCCAGTAAAGTTGTTTGGTGCATAGTTTTTAATTTTATGTTTCTCTTTGTTTTATTTCCGCGTTTGTAAAAAAGCTAAAATCTAGTATAGATTTTTACATTTTACAAAACAAAAAAAGTTCAGAGTAATTCAATTTTAAGATCGAGAGATTTATTCCATTAATGTCAGTTTGGGTGAACTTTTTTGTTTTCTTTATCTATTTTAAACAGTCCAAACATTGACTTAAAACTCTCTTTTTGTCATCTTTGACCTTCTCTAACTCGATCCTAATGATATGTTAAAGGCTAGGTTCTTATCGCTGTTCACTCGTGGCAACATCGACGGTTTTTTCGTATCTTCTTCCATCAGAACGTTCTAGCTCCTTTGGTTAGTTTCATCTTTTGTGGCCTTCTCTAATACTGTTGTTTGCTGCTTAGTTTTTAGTTTTATGTTTCTCTTTATTTTGTTTTGGTTTTGTAAAAAATCTAAAATCTAGTGTAAATTCTTATACTTTACCATAACCAAAAAAAGCTAAGAGTGTAATTCAATTTTAAGATCGAGATATCCATTCAATTAATATCAGTTTGGGTGAAATGTTTTGTTTTGTTTCTCTATTTTAAACACTCCAAAAAAAGATTCAAACTCTCTTTTAGTCATCTTTTACCTTCTCTAACTCGATCCAAATAATATTTTAAAGGCTAGGTTCGGATCGCGGTTCACTCATGGTAACATCAACGGTTTTTTCATGTCTTCTTCCGTCAGAACTTTCTAGCTACTTTCGTTAATTTCATGTTTTATGGTCTTCCACAATACTATTGTTTGCTGCATAGTTTTTAGTTTTATGTTTCTCTTTGTTTAATTTTCATGTTTGTATAAAATCTTAAATCTAGTATAAATTTTTACATTTTACCAAAACAAAAAAGATAAGAGTGTAGTTCAATTTTACGATCGAGAGATCCATTCAATTAATGTCAGTTTGGGTGAACTTTTCTTTTTTGTTTATCTATTTTAAACTGTCCAAACATTGATGTCAAACTCTCTTTTTGTCATCGTTTCCCTTCTCTAACTCTATCCTAATGATATGTTAAAGGCTGGGTTTCGATCGTGGTTCCCTCGTGGCAACATCGTCGGTTTTCTCGTGTCTTCTTCTATCATAACGTTTTAGCTCCTTTCATTAATTTCATCATTTGTGGCCTTCTGAAGTACTGTTGTTTGCTGCCTAGTCTTTTTTATAGTTATATGTTTTTCTTTGTTTTATTTCCATTTTTGTAAAAAATCTATGACATAATTTTTTACATTTTACCAAAATAAAAAAAAATTAAGATTATAATTCAATTTTAGGATCGAGATATCCATTCAA